AATAAATAAGCAGTTACGAGGTCGTTCCTGCGATCAAATGCTTTACAGAATGGGCACCGTTCTGTGCTCTGTGGTCATAAATTCTCAGCACACGCAACACTGGGGAGGAAGGTTAACCGAAGCAAGGAATTCTGCAAATTTCGCACAGTGAGGCAGTTTCAGAACCACTGCTCTAAGGACCACACAGGAGAGAGAGCCCCAAACAGAGTGGTGTGCCATCAACCGATGCCTGCAGTTCTCTAGCTCCTGTCCTCAGTACAGTCCCCAGCGACCTCCTCAGGGACACTGTCACTGCTCTGCTATCAATCGCACGTGACCTGAGCATTCTGCAGCATTTGACACTGTTAACCACTTGAAACTTTCTCATCCTTTGCACCATAACAAGGCCTTTTTGGCTTTTGTCCGTCTTCCATACCCGGCCCTTAACCATCTGTTCCCTAAGTTACTGTTCCTGCAACTGCCTGTATTCTGTGTTCTCCAGTGTTTAACCCGTGATTGTCTTCTCACTCAAAACACTACCCCTGGGGCACAGGCAGTAGGCACAGGGACCGAGGTTCGATCCCCAGCATGCCATACTGGTCCTGCCCCCGGAGCATGCTGAGTTGGCCCCTGAAACTAGGCATGGTGGCTCACACCTGTAATCCCAGCACTTGGGAGGCTGAAAACAAGAAGGATCACTACAAGTCCAATCTGTATAGTGAGACCCTATACTAAATACATTTTAAAAAAAAAAAAAAACTACCCCTGGGATGTTTCATCTAACCCTGGCAGCTTCTATTGCTATCAGCCGGCAATTCTTAAAACTATTTCCATGACCTCAGTTTTTCTGCTAAGCCTCAGAGGATTTGCAGTTACCTGTTATAACTTAATACCACATCATTCAAAGATCAAAAAGGCCATGTTTGATACCAGAACCCCTTCCCAACATGGTTCTAGCTACCCCACCTCTTGCTAGCCCATAGTCCAAACCTTTGTAAACATGTCCCAAGTCATTTTCACAAAGCAGAAGCCCTAAAATCATCCTCAACTTCTGTTTGTCCCTTCATAATTTCTTCTTCTTCATCCAGATAAGTCCCAACTCTATCAGTTCTATCTTTGAAAAAAGAGTTTTCCAAATTTCACCTGGCCCTCCATCTACTGCCTCGGTCCTTTCCTGCTCATCTCTGGCTTCTCTTCCAGCGTAGATGTTGGGATTCGACTTTCCAACTCCTATGGTCCATAACGCCGTGAGGCAAATCTGAGCTTCTTAAAAGAGGTCCTTCTACAGTCTCAAATGCTGACACAGCCCAGCCTAACTCTGTAGCTTATTTTGTCTCCATCCCTGCCTCTTCTTCCATTCAGTGCACGCTTCAGACTAAACTCCTCAAGACACTGACCCCCTCACAGTCCCCACACAGGATGTTCTCTTTCGCCTGGGATTCCCACGGCCTGGAATGTCCTTCAGGTCATTTCTACAACTCCTTACTCAGGCATCTACTAGGCACCAGGCACTATGCTGGGACCTCAAAACTAAAAGTAAGGTGAGGATCCTCCTCTCAGTGGTTCAGAGCCTATGAAGAAGGGAGACGGGTGTATCGACAAATAATAATAATGTGCTGTGATACACACAGATGAGAAATATATACAAAGAACAGAGACACACAGAGGAGGAAGGCTCACTGGACTGAACAGGACAAGAAAGCGCGGCAGACTATAGACGCTCAACATGGCACAGAGCCATGAGACCCCCACTGAGATGATTGACTTTAGGGTGTTTTTAACACAATTGAAAATTTTAAATTATTTTTTTTTAAATACAATAAGCAGGGTAGCTTAAAACCAGGATAGAATGAGCAGCTGCCTACCTTCATCTCCTTTCCAACTTGTAAATTCCTATAAAACTCTCAGATCTGGCTCCCATCTCTACAGACCCTTCCATGGGAGTCCTGTGAAATTCCCTCAGCCCGTGCAGCCTAAACCTTGGTTTCTGCTCAAAGAGCAGCACTTCATGTAGACTTCTACTTAGTACACCATTGTGTCTGGAAGTTTTTGTTTATGTCTATTCCTCTCGCAAGACAGAATTCCTTAAGAACTGGCACCATTTCTCATACAAACATAGATCCTATATCTCTACAAAAATTTTATTGCATTAGTCAATTTGGTATTAATAAACAGTGCCCTAGCACCACATTAATAACTGCATGGGTGACCTCATTTCATCCCTAGCACTGTCTGAGGATGGTTGTATTTTTATTTCCATCTTTATAGATGAAAAAAACAGGGTGAGAAGCTAAGAGTATCTTTCTTAAAATCATATAGTTGCATAGTGGAGATGTAAAACCAGGTTGATATTTTAGATAGAAAATGAAGATTTCAAGAGAAAAAGGGAAATGGGACCTAGAATATTCATGCATAAGGCATGGCAAGAGGCTTGGCCTCTTCGGTGTCAGGCACTGTGTTACACACTTCACAGAAGTGGCCTCATTTAAAATAACTCCAACTTCATGAAATATCCCCAAGATGTAGAGATCACAGCGAAGAAACCAAGGTTCAGCAAAATTAAATTTCTTGCCCCAAATCTCAAGGCTGGTGGCAGGCAAGTGTACTAACCTTGAACTCTGCCAGCATTTCTCCTTTGACTCTTGGAGGAAGTAGTGGGAAGATGAAAATAAAGAGATTGTCAGGAGGAGGAAAGGTTACCAAGAAGACTCTTCAGCAAATGTGAAACATTGAACAAAGTGGGCAGAATGATCTGGAAAGCTGAAGTTCTTGGTGGCCACTGTGAGGACGACCCGGGTGAACCGAATAGAGTAGATGGAACCCAGCTGAAATCAAGGTACATGAATTAATGATGAGCCATGGAAGAACTCTCTCTCTCTCTCTGTCTCTGTCTCTGTCTCTCTCTCTCTGTCTCTCTCTCTCTCTCTGTCTCTCTCTCTGTCTCTCTCTCTGTCTCTC